ATCAGGGCTTGATGATTTGTAAGTTTGCAGTTTGTAAAAAAAATAAAATAAAAATTGGAAGGTCATCTGTTGTAGTAGCAAAAGATTTGCCACAGTTCTTCTGACCTTTTTCATGAAAACATCAGTTCAAACCAGCTGAGGCTTTCACTGTGACAATCTGAACAGCAATGCACGAACAAATAAAAATATGCTAGGCTAAAAGTACATATTACAAAACTGTCTGTTGGAAGGCATACACTTTAAAAAAAATCTTATCAGGGATAGTTGCTTTTAGTTACACCTGATGGTCAAATATGTTAACTTAGAAGTGTCAACAAAATCAGTTTTTCCGAATTAGATTTGGCTGTGCAGGTGTCACTTTTACATTCCCATCTCCAAAATAGATTCCATGTGAATATTTATTCCAGCTTGCCGTTCCAACAAGCATTTCCTTATCTCTTCCAGCTTAAGAAGAAAATCCTTGTGATGCTTGAACTCTGGGTGTGACAATTCCACCCCTCTCCGCTGTGTTTTGCCCTGCAGACCTTTTCATAAAGTGAAGCAATAACAGAAAAGCATACCAAAATCTTGCATGGTCTAAGCATGTTTTGTTGTCTACTGTTTTGTTGGCAAAGATCTAGGGTGAAATCCTATGCAAGTTTAGACCGAAAAAGTCTTAGAGCTGATTGGAGAATGTTGAGAGTTGTATGATTATTTTTTCTATCTCAGCAGGCAGAGGGGTGCACCCTTAGTGAGCATTGATTGTGTTTGTTACACTAAAATTATATTTAGTTAATCAGCATTGGAGTGGATGTTAAATGTATTGACATGTGATGCATACTAAATATTTGAGTAAGGAAGCTGTTCGGCATGCTTGATGTGTGCAAAGACTGCACCCTGCTGGTTTTTAACAAAATAAGTGAAAATACAGGATAATTAAAAACTCCCTTGCTTATAAAAGATATAGATGGTGACAGTTGCATAATTAAAGTAGCATTCAGCTGAACCCTCAATCATTCAGCTTTCAGAATGAAAAATGTGCTTCCAACATTTTGTGAAACTTAGAAGAAAATCTTTGCCAGGAAATTTCTCCATGATGCAACCTCCGCCTCAACAGAGTCTGCAGGCTGGCCATGTCCCTCTGGATGATGTGTGCCACCGTTGTCCTCCATATAAGGAAAGATGGGTGGTTATGTGTATTACTTTACAGAAGATAATTTTCTCTTTGAAGGCGTGAACTATGTGAAGAATTGGCTTGTCCAAGTCCAGTTTAAAGATAAAGAACCATCAGAAAGAAGAGATGGGACTTGAGTAACCTGTCACAACATCTGGACAGCAGAATGGAGCAAAGCACACAAGTCACCTGGTCACAGTCTCCCATCTATTGCTGAAATTTTTTATTTATGCTATAGTGATTATTACAAATACTGCATATCTACCTACCTACCTACCTACATCATATGTAAATGTTATTCAAATCTATGTCTTTTTAAAAATTTATTTGGTGATGCAGAAGTGGCTACCCTAAAGGATCAACACTGACGTAGCCGGCATCTCCTTCCATGTGGAGGAACTCTACATGCAAGCATCAGTCCATGGAAGAAGACTTTTCTCATGGCTTCCAAATACATGGGCAGCAAGAAGGGTTTCCATCGTGGCTCAGGGGCACGCGAGAGGGGAGGGGGAGGCTTGTGTGGCTTTAAGTGTGTTTGTCTGTGTGGCGGTGGGGAGTGCCATGGGAACCATCTCATGGCCTAGTGTGACTAGGCATAATATTCCACATAAGGACCAAGTGGTACCTGCACTCATAACTGTTGTCTCTTTTTGAGGTGATATTATTTTTTACCAATATCCGAAAGAGAGTTTAAAGTATCAAAAATATATTTTCATTTTACATAATCATGAGAATTCTTAACAAATGGTTGCAGCTAGCACGAGCCACATTTCCTCCCTCCAGCAATCAGCAGCCTCAGGTTCTTTCCTTGCAAAATGCTCTTTATTGCTTCCAACCATAAATCATCCAGACAGATCTCTGAGCATACACAAAGCAGTTTGTCAAACCCAACCTAGCAGTTACTTCCCAAAACTCTCCTTACAAGTTCACTGTGGAGCAAGCAAGCCTCTGTTCCAGGTGCTTCTCACCCAGTCGGGGTTTTTGTCTCTGCGGATGCCTGGCCATGGGCCGGCTCTGAGGGGATCCCCTAGTCTCAGCAGCCCCTCTTGCCAGCTGTATCTCCACGCTGTTCCCAGGGTCTGTCTGGACCTCCTCCTCTCCTCTTCAGCCAATCTCGCCCACCTCCACCTCCTCCCTTTGCCTCTCAGGACCTTGAACAACTAACACTCTGCTGCCAAATCCCATCAAAATATTCAGTTTCTTCTTCTGAATCCGAATCAGCAAAAGTGGCATGATTAGTTTCCTGTGGGAATGCCTGCCTGAGCCAGCTCTCACGCTCTCAACAACAGCCAGTAAAGTTAATTTAGCTTGCATATAGTTTTGCTACACCAAGTCCACACCAATTGTAGGTTGTGACTGAAGTCTACAAGGGACTCCACAAGTCTGTCATTTTTGCTGCCTCCCTGGGGTTGCTAAACTGGGCAAATCTCGAGGTGCTGGCAGTGAGAGATTGTGGCTGGTGGTACGACAAACCCCTAATGTGGTAGCCCAAATGCTGGGCCATGGAAATCCTAGCAGGACTACCCGGGACTCCTGCTTCTGCTATTACAGCTAATGCAACAAGATTAAAAATTAGGGTCATGGTAAGGCTGGATCGCATCTGAGACCATCTAGTCCAAACCTTCGTACGATGTTAAGATGTGACTGAAATTCGCACGCCATCTGGCATTAGCTTGCTTCTTTTTGATTATGGCAACCACAACCAGAGAACAAAGGCTGAAATACATGTCCCAGCAAAGGGGGTGTTGACAACTGATGGGGCCTGGCTCCATGGAAGAATATAGCTGGAGTGCAAGCAAAAACTCTCCTCATCCAGCAGGAGGGGTGTGGGGGTAAGAATCCTAGAATGGAAGAGCCGGGAGACCACCAGGCCCAACCCCCTGCTCAGTGCAAGTTAAAGCATCACTCTCAGTTGGCTGTCCAGTACTATAATCCACAGACACGTCACCCAATTTAATTTGGGAGGAAATTGTCTCCCGATACCAAATGCACCAGTTCTTCCGACAATGAGAAGGAAGGAAAACTCCTCCAGTGAACCCTCTTTATACCTGTGCACCTACCTTCCTAAGTTCTGCAACAAAACGAAGTGGAGTGAAATCCGGAACAGAATGCCGCAGTATATCTTTACTCCCAACAGGAGCATTTCCGGCCCAGGCACCAGCAAGCTGTCTGTGCCTCCTCCTCCTCCCTCCTCTGAGATGAGCTGTTAAGGTGGGTGTGGGCAGCCAGGGGACTGCATGCCAGCAGTGGGCAATACCACTGGCCCAGGGCAGCAGGGACACCCCCACTATTGGCATGTGGTTGGGGCCCAGCATGTTTGCTTACATGCCTGCACACATTCTATTCAGCTCATTACACAAATACACACACCCACTCACATATATTCACTCACTGTATGCACACACTTAGCCTGCAGAGAAAGGCCACTAGCTGGCCATGCAAGGAGGGATTGCTTTCTTCTGCCCTGGCCAGATCACTGCCTTTCCATGCCTTTCAGGTTCTCCCTACTCAGCATTAACAAAGGCAGTGCTCAACAAGGACTTTCCCTTTCTGTGTGCTTAGGAAGGCAGGGAAACAGGGGAAAAGCCAGGCAAAGAGGGAGGAACTCACATGTCTGCTTAGCTTTTGATAAGACAGGATGGCAAAACAGATGGAGAACTCCTGTTGGCCACATCTGGCCTGTAGGCCGGATGTTCCCCACACCCATGTTGGGGATCAAGTAAGCCAGTTCCCCTTCCTTGGGCTTCAGATTTTCTTCTCCAAGTGGCAGCCAAAACCCAGCAATTCTTGGTGTCCGCTGAACGTACTTGATCCGCATTGACTTTTTGTCCCCTTTGGGAGTCAACATGCTGTTGTCTTCAACATGCTAATCTCTCTTTTCTCTCATTATGTCAATTTCTAGCGGCCTGGGAGCACAAAACTCTTCGTGGTCATGTCGAAAGATGAACATCCATACATTGTGTCATTCAGCCTTTCATTGTGTCAAAAGCACAGCTGGGTTGCTTCGGATGTTTCATTCTCATCTGGCGTTTTCTAGGTTGTGCCTGTCTTTTGCTGCCGCCAGTAGTTACAGTATATCAGGATCTGCCTTTCATAACATCCACTGAATGCCTCAGCCACATGTCTGATTCTCAGGGATACTGATGGTGTGATCGCTGCGTAGGCCACGTTGGATGTGCCATTCTTGTGCAGACGTGCCATAGAATGGTTGCACCCTCGTTACTCCACACCCAACGAGCTAGACTGGGCCAAAGATCTCATTGGAATGAGCTCAGCCCTGCTGATTGAGCTCGGACTTTGCTCCGAGGGACAGGTTTGACTTTAGAACCATCACCTACTGATGACCTCTGGATGAATTATGGGAACATAGGCTGAAGGTTGTTAACATCATATGAACTGCCCTTAGCGTGCTATTACTCTTTCATCAGTATGGATAACTTTTAAATGGGGGAAAGAGGGGTGAAATGTAGGAATCCACCTCTTTGTAGGTTCTTCCATTGCTTGGTTTCATCCTGAAGTGGTGATGGTGCAGGGGGCAGAATCTTGCTGCATTCCTTGCTGGAAGCTGGGCTGAAGGATTAAATGTTCCAGGTAACAGACGGAAGTCTATGGAACTAAAATTAGTTATGTTTGTCACTTGCTGTTGGCCAGTATGCAAAGTCTGCATGTGCTTTTTCTTCCAATAGGAAGGGAATTATGGGCTAGAACACTCCCTGCTTATCCTGGCAGGTAGTGAGGGACAACTTTGTGTTGGCTTCTCCCCATCACAGAAAGTTCTGCAAACTGGCCCTTAGGAACAGCTAGCATGCTAACAGAAGCAAAAAAGAAAAGCCAAACAGGAGACAGATTCATTTAAAATATCTATTGAAATTACAAATAAACCTCTTCAATATGCTTCAAAGTACAAAACAACATTCAAAGGCATTCAACAGCTCTTTTGTACATCACAGTGTTAGTGGCACAAAATGTAGTTACATTTCAAATACAGAAACAAAATTTGTTGTTATTTTTAGACTAGCCAAATACATAATTTATACATACACATGACTCTTCCGTGCTTCTCTATGCAAGGGTAAGAATACTCCCATAATAAAATGAGTGAGAAAGGTTCAGTTATATGGCGCACACCTGTACCTAGTATTCCTGGCCTCTTTTGATGAATTACATACATAACAAAGCAAGGACCACCATGGGGCTTTAAATGCAAATGGCAGGCTTTTACTTTATGGGAGCGTATTAGCAAGCAAGCATAATTGTAGGAAAACATCAGCTATCTCTGTTGTTGTCCATCTTCAGTAAAAGTAAAGACCCAGCCTGGGAGAGACTTCTTCATAAAACTAAGCCATGTCATGTTCTTACACACACTGACCAAGACCTCCTATCAAGATTGGTCAGTCTGTAGTTTTAAGAGGTATTAATAGATACTCAATAAGTAGAGAGACACTTTCATTCCATGGCTTGGCTTTATCCTGTATACCTTCACTTTCTTCTCTGCTTAACATAGAAAATGTCTTTTTTTTCCTTTTTGAATTGGTACCAGTATAATTTGCAGAAATTTTCCATTCACATCTACACACACACACTTTACAACTTACCAATGGACAGAAGCTTATTGGCATATTGATTAAAGCAACCCCCCCAAAGGATCTTGGCATGATAACAAGGCTTGAAAACCATAACTATTAGCATGCGTGCATACTCATACCCATAGGCAACTGGACAAGAAAAACATGGGAACTAGAAACCGCAACAAACCATGCAATGGACAATATGTGAACAGATTCTGGAAATGAACATGTGTGAGGGGCTTATTTCTAGAGCCTTTGTGATGCTCTAGAAATAAGATCATAACATTCAGAACTTGAATCCACACTAAAATTCAGCAGGAAAGAATTTGGTACGTATCTTTAAAATAATTTGGTTTTTTCCCCCTCTGCCAAACCTTTAAAATCACATACAAGTTTATTTTTGTTTTTTGGTTCAATTTCAACATGTCTTGCTTTGCTTCCATGACCTGAAATATTGTGATTGTTGTGCACTGAAAGGGTTCGAGAAAAGAACTGAAACGCTGCCCTAGCTGCTTTCCATAGAAACTTGACAGATCACTCACCGCATGCTTGCAAAGTGGGTTTTCTTTACAGGTGGGTCAAACTAAGACGCAGTCAAAAGGACTTGCTCAGCCCCACATGGACACAGCTCAATTAAAAAATACACTAACGGTGCAACCCGATACAGGTTTAGACAGAGAAAATGTCCAGAAATGCAAGTTATTTAACTTTCCATTAAAAAGGGATTTAAGACAATGCACCTAAGTAACAGTAGGGAAATGTAGTAGAAGTGATATTAGGTGATACTCAGTTTTCATTCAAAAGCACTCAGAATTATATTAAAATGAAAATTCTGTATTCCTATAGAGGGGCTTTGAATTTAACATTTAAATATGTCTCTATTACATTGCTCCCTGATAGAGTAACCATCAGTTAATTTCTAGCACATGGCAACTATCTAACTCAAGGAAAGACCCACACTTAAAATGCAGGGTAATATGTCTGATAGGAGTGATGTGTAGCTGATTGCAAGCTGTGAAACTTTTTCTTGATTACAAGTGTTATTTAAGGAATCAGAAGTGCTGTGACAGGAAGAGTACCGCTTCCAAAGGCAGGATCATCACAGCAATATGAGGGTTATACTAGGTGCATTTCTTTGGGCAAGATTTAACTCGAGAGAGTTGTAGTAATTAGATTGGCAGAATGTCCCTGGAGGTTGTGTGCACATACGCACTCGCCCATAAACTGGTAAGAGTACATGCCGCATTAAAATATGTAGTGTTGTTATTATTTGCTTGATAGTAGAAATGGTGGTGGCAGTGGAGATCAAAATCAGAACTTCTGTGCATGAGGAGGTTTAAGTCTTTCTTCCTCCAGTGCAAACCAGACAATGATCACCTTTGTCCCCATAAACCAGGATTAGAAAAAATGGCACTGGAAAGAAAGGAACAGAAATGAGTGCGCTGCTACCAGATCTCACTGATGCTTGTTGACTCAGTTAATCTAAGGGCTGAGAAGGAGGGAATCCAGCAAAGTGAATCTGCTACCATTGTTGGTTATAATAGAAGGGGTGGAAACATGGCATAGGATTAAATACATAATATACATTCTATGGCAGGCTACTGAACCCAACGATTAGGAGGAGACATACCCTGATATCATGTGTGGCTTCTAACACTAGGGAACAACACAATGTCTGAGGTGCATTGTGGCAATAGCTTAATATGTATTTTATTGGATATTAAGATAAAACCAGAAGTACAAAAATGGATAAAGTTAAGTTCTCTTTCCCCCTGCAGTACAGACCATGGTCAAGTGGATTAATTTTCTGGCTTCTGGGGATGCCAGAGATCAGGTATGCTTTAGAGGCATGCAAATTCCCCCAATTCAAAGTACTATATATTTCATCCTGAAATGGCTATTTATCTGGACTTGAACCTTTACAACATGCATCTTAATTGCCCCCCCACCCCACTTTTCTCTTGTTCTTCAGATTTCACATGGTTATACATTTTTAGATGCTATCTCTTCCTAGTTTGGAAATCTACATTGTTTATAGCTTTCACTCCAAGTATCAGAAACTAATGATGTTGAGTATCAATAGTGCATTGATGTCTACGTTATACTCCCTTGGGAGAATTACAGCACTTCAATTTACACGAGAGCCAGGGCAATAATAAAGCATACAAACATAGAAGATGGACAGAATGTAGCTTTAAAACTAGTTCTGTTACCACAGTTATCATACAGTATCAAATAATGTTTTTAAGGTGGACTAAACATGCGTAACTCTTAACAGGCTGTACATATTACCACTGCAGATCTATTAATTGGAACAACACAACCATACAGCAGAACCCTTTTGAATTAATTTTTTTGCATACTTTATAGGATGGAGTAATTTGGGGGCATTATTCTCCCAGTATGGATACAGCTCAGTACACTGGGTTCAATATGGACAAGGTTCCATGAACCCCTTCCCTCTTCCCAGCAGTTCTTTGGTGTATGATAGCCATTGCAAAAGAGAGGAGACCCTTTGCACCCCATACACTCCTCCAATTCCCTCTGTGAGTCCCTGAGGACGGAGTACTGGGGGAAAACAGCATATAGCAAAGATCTTCTAATTTGTATCATGGCCAGTGTGTACACCAAGGGATAGTTAGAGAGGATGATGAAAGAAAACAAGTTCCTCTGGGTAAGATGTCTACTCCGTATTATTCGCAGAGCAGTATCTACAAGTATGTGGGAAATGATCAGCACCGTGGCTTCTTTATATTAGTACCTGGTGGCAGAACTGATGAGTCATGTGCCTTGAACCTTTACAACATTCAGAAAAGCATCTATTTGCACATTTGGTTTAAACAGAATTTTCTCTAAATGTACATACAAAGATACTTGGTTAGAGGTAGCCCTATTTATGTAGCAGATAGCTAATGAACAAGTAAAACAAAATCTAGCCTGAAAAAAAAAAAACTAATTTCAAAGAGTAATGAATACCAACTTTTTAAAAAGAGCCTTGGTTTGGTAGCAGGTTTTGTCATATAGCTCAACCTCATTTCAAAAAAGCTTGCAAGTTTAAAAACAAATACACAGCCACACAAAGAACTCACACAGTTCCCCAACAGGTTAGTAGGCAGAAATGATATCTATTGTCTTTGAAAAGTCAGAAGGCATCAGATGGCCTACTTGTACTCTACTAGACCGCTACTATTTCATGTGTGAGATTGGTGCAAGGACACTGAGATGCTTCCCTATCCAGTTGTATAGGATGCTGTTGTTCCGCCAGCGGAAGGGAAAATGTGGGTGGAATGGATTTCCCCTTCCCCACTGCACTCCTACATGTGTCCCCACAATCTGCTCCAGAGAGTTGGGCAACTTTCCAGGAGCTCTGGGGGGCACACAAGAAGCTGCAAGGGGGAGGAGGGGTTGGAAAAGTCCTCCTGTGCAAGTAGGAGTCCTGCTGCATGAGCTTAGCTGTCGCTGCTGCATCCAGCCCATGGCAAATATTGACTAGTTTTTGATTCGTTTTAATAAACGGGTCTCTAGAGTCACATTTAAATGGACCGATTTCAAGTGGTGTTTCTTAAAAACAGAATCAGCGGTAAGACACCTCCTTTTTGATGCAAACAGATATGTGGAGACTCCTGTTTTGATGGTGCGATATCTCAGTTCCGAGTCTGTGGGTGAACAAGGAATAACTTGTGTTATGCTCCACTCCATCTTTGATGTTCAACCTGCTTCATGCCAGACCGTGAACACACCAGAATGCCTTGTTCTCCGTAATCCAGTCTGTGGGCAGGAAACTGTGGCAGCTGCAATTTCTCGAGTCGTGGCACCTCAGTCTTGCTTGAAGCTGGGGTCAGGGCAAGTAAGGCTGTAGCAATCTTAAGTGCAAAAAGGGGAAGAAACGTCCTGCAACGCTGAGCAGTCCACCTTTGCTTGGTCTAGGTCGGTAGTGGGTCATCGTCTCCTTTATTACACTTGCACTTGCAGCAAAGAACAAAAGGGGTGGCAAGGAGAAGAAAAGGAGATGCCACTAACAGTAACAGGCCAAATCCCGCAAAGATCCCAACAACCTGGATAAGAAGAAGGAAAAAGAAAGGAAAGGGCGAGTGTGTGAGCGGTTTTCCAATTACCCTTCAAGGAGAACTGGGAAAAAATAAAAGTGCGTGTAGCTCCAGGAACTTTTTAGTTCATTGCTTACAAATTTCCCTTTGAGCCATTCATTCAGAAATTTCAAAAAGGGCTATTTTCAAAGCTGTCGGTAAAGCAATTCTGTTGTTGTCACTATCTGTCTTTATGCCACTCATTACTTCATGAAGAGACCAGAACGCCGCTTGGGGGTCAGGCCCCCAGTGGGCTGCGTACAGCAAACAAACATTGCTTCAGAAAGCCAGCTCAGGCATCGTGTGCAAGAGAGCGCAAGAGGACAAGCGACAGCCATAAAGGCTCTGCTGTGTTTCCTTACCCCGGGAAATACTTTGGCGACTGGATCGATGCTCCACCTCTGTCTGTCTCCTCTTCCCAGACAGCCAAAGATGCTATACCCCAATGCTTCTTTTTAAGGATCCCTGACCTGAGAGGAATTTTTGTGGGCGGGGAATTCTTTTCACACTGGTACCCCAGTCCTAAGGGGCTGTTGTGGAACAGTAATGTCCTTGTGATGCGTCAAGAAGGCCAGGCGACTGTGTTGCTGACCACAGTGAATCACTGGATGGTTTCTGCTGCCCTACATGCTGAGCTTCAATGCAGAGCTCCTCCGGCAGTTCATAGAATCTTGGCCCAGAAGTTGTCTGCCTACAAGTCCCCCTTGACATTGGGAATGGGCTGATTTCCTTCCATTACTGGGTTGAGATGGGGTGACCTTTAATGGCACTGTCTGTGCAGGAAGTTCTATCCTAGAGATGCCAGGCCACACCACACTATTCTGATTCCACTTATATCTGTGGAAATAAGTGATGCCACATTGTACAGAACCAGACTGTTTGTTTCATCTTTACCCTGCATTCATCTGTAACATTTATTTATCACTCTTAGGAGAAGTACTGCTAGAGGTAGTTTCCTGTGTTAGTCTTACCTAGAACAGATGCACTGGAATAAATGAGATGTTAAGTTAAACTAGCATTTGATTCAGCCCCTGGTCTGGTCAACACATCTAGTGTGGATATTACTGTGATACTGCTGTTCCAAACAATAATTGATCATTTATTTGCTACAAATATAGGAACAGCCCTTCTGACTCAAGCTGGGTGGGATGGGGGCTCCCCTCCATACATGGTGCTGTGCATGGCACTTGGTTTAGAAACTCAAGTGACATTCTTAATTATCTGGATTTCAATTCAAGATGGCCTTTGGCTAAGTAACAGAGTTGCGCAATGTGCAATAAGAGATGAGGTCAGAGGGAGAAGGGTAATAGCAGCATGATTATGTGGAAATGAGCTTATGTGGCCCCTGATGTTTAATATGCAACACGAGGAGTACCAGGCTGAGCTAAGGCAGGGGATTTGCCAAGCTATTATTGGCTATGAATTTTTATAACCATTAAGATTTTGGTTTAATGGAAGGTTAACATCTTCAAGCCGCTGAGGCTGTTAGGAGCTGCACAGACAGATGATGCTGAAGCGCTGATGCAATGGGCTGCCTAAGGCGCAGCAGGGCAGATGGAGGCGGCTTCGTAAAGTGCCATTCATCAATCTCAGCATAATATGATTGCAAAGTTAAAGTGGGTTTTCACTTTCTTTGTTCAGTAAAGAAGGTAGAATCCAATGTTTACTTTATAATCACCACATACTGCTACTTTTTGTTGTTGGTTACTAACCTCTTTACTTGTTCTTAATGATCACCTGTTCTGTCAGCAGGTGGCACTGCAGAACAAGATTCATTCTGAAGGGGACAGTGTACGTTACCCGATTATGTAATCACACACTTGATGGCCTTTATTCTAAGTTTTTCAAAGCCCACAATTTCTTGGCTACTCTAATTTTTTATTATGGTGTTTGGTGTCTGCTTCACTGCGTTGCCCTGCAAAATATGCCTACTTCCCTCTTTATGATTTCTTATCGTGCATCATCTGGGAAGTGTAATTTTAGCATGGCATATAAAGCAATACCTTGACTTTACCATAATTAAAGCTCTCTGCTAACCTCTGAAAGGAAGAGGGCCAGCAGTTCATGTGACATGGCCAGATGACCATTATTTAATGCAGGATGAGCCATGGCACATGCTGGGTATGTGCAGCTGCCACCTTGAATGCGCACAGAGGTGACAGGGCATTCTGCAGTGTTGTGTGAACCTGGCCACTATGGGCTATTTGAGGGTTCAACTATCTTCCCACAAGCCTATGCAAGGACTGCTTAACCTCTGAATAACCCACAAGGGGTGGGTTTGCACAACCCAGTGCAACCCACAATTAGTGACTACATATTGAACAACTCGGCTCATTATAATTATACATGTATCATAGATCAGGTATCATAAGCTATACTTACAAGCAAGTCAGGCATAGCATCATATTTTATTCCATGTCTTTTTACTTTTTCTCCTGATTCATTTTGATCTGCATGAAGATCATAACCAGAAAGACAGCAAAGACACCAAGAAGCAAATTGGCACCTACCTGTGTTCTGTGCCAAATAACTGATGCCCTAGAATGACCTAGCTTGTTTCGGCATGGCCCTTTGTCGTAATGTATAAGGAGAAAGTCGTCCTGTAAAGTATCAATAAGGGAAAGAGGAGAAATATCTTTTTAGTGATGATGGAAGCTAACCTTTTCCAAACAATACCAGTGTTTCAAAAGGATGCATGCAACTTCATAAACATGTACAGCCCAACCCTTTATATGTTTACACAGAAGTAAGCTTAACTCCTATGAAAGGGTGCAGCAGACTGAAATCCTAAGGTTCTGCCACAACTGAGAGGGATGGGGCATTTTCATTTGCTTTAAAAACATGGGATACCACAAAGAATGCCCGTTGCCCATTGTTTCCCATTTGCTTCTACCTGCAGAGTATAACAATGTCATGGGACACAGCTGCTACCATTTGCAAAGGGCAGTGATGTCACTCAATTGTCTCCTTCGCTGCAGTGGGCAGACTGTAGCCAATGGGCAGTGGCAGGTGTGTGAGTCATGGATTACTCACTTGCCATGAAGTCAGTTAACAGTAATTCTCTTTGCAGAAAGGGATTTAGTATTTAGGTACTGAAAATACCATATGTAGTTAAAGGGGTAGGCTAAAATGGCCCAAAAGGCAGGGGGCAACCCAACTTTGTGGCAACTACAAGCAAGAGGCTACTACATGGGTGACTCCCTCTGTGTTAACCTGCCAGCTCAGCAGGCCTTGGGGTATGCCTGCTGCCCTGGAAATGGCAGCTGAACATGTGCTGCCTCACCGAGGTGGCCCAATGCTCGTTGTGCTCCTGTGAGCGGCAGTGCACCGCCAAAGGGAAGATGAAGAAGCCCCCTGCCGGGCTGGTGCCCTTGCTGCCCGTGCCGTTCCCAACATAACTAGTCATCTTCTTGCAAGAATTCGCTTGGGCAGAATCCATGTAAGGACTCTTCTGCCCCAGTATATAATCAGCAAATCACACCAGGCTCTTTAGACCACCCTTGACATATTTAATTCTTCAGAATTGTGATTCGTTTTTAAAGGGCAATGATGCCACATACATACATATATAAATTCTACATGTAAACTTTTGCAACTTTCCTGCAATGGTATGAAGTACCAATATTGCAATGAACTATTAGCATGTGTACAACAGTCTGCTTTATATCTATGTAAGCATCTACCAACTGTTAACTTTTGAGTATCCATTGTTAAGATTGTTTTTAACATCCTTTAAATATATTATTATTATTATTATTATTATTATTATTATTATTATTATTATTACATTTCTATGCCGCCCCTTGCCGAAGCCTCGGGGCGGCTTACAACACAATAAGATACATTGAAATACAATAGAGCATAATAAATTACCAATAAATACAGAAATACAAAAAATACACTGAGATACAATAATATAAAATTAAAATTAACAGTATAAAATAAGTAAATAAAGAATATAGGAGGAGGAAAGAGAAGGAAGAGGAAGTTGCCCTGGCCAGATCATATATTTTAACAATTAAAATGATGTTTAAATAAAAAGGTCTTTACCTGGCGCCGAAAAACCAGTAACGACGGTGCCAGGCGGACCTCTTTGGGGAGTGAATTCCATAGGTTGGGTGCCACCGCAGAGAAAGCCCTCCTCCGAGTACTTACTCTCCTAATTTCTTTCATGGAGGGTTCCAGGAGAAGGGACTCTCCCGCAGATCTCAAAGGGCGGTCGGGCATATACGGACGTAAGCGCTCATTCAGGTAGCCAGGACCCAAGCCGTTTAGGGCTTTATAGGTCATAACCAACACCTTGAATTGGGCCCGGGCTTCAATGGGAAGCCAGTGAAGCTGACGGAGGACTGGAGTCATGTGAGCATAACGCCCCATCCCCGTCAGCAACCTGGCAGCTCTATTTTGCACCAATTGAAGTGTTCGGACCGTCTTCAGGGGAAGCCCCACATAAAGCGCGTTACAGAAGTCTAGGCGGGAAGTCACCAGCGCGTGTGTCAGCGTCGCCAGGCAGTCGTACTCCAGGTAGGGGCGCAGCTGATTAAATGACCTCGTTTAAATTAGTGGGTCATTTGCTATTTGTGACATGGATAACCTCAGTGAATGATACTTTCTCAGCCTTAAAATGAACTATGTAAAGTATACTTACATCAAGTGATTCCAAACAATACCAGCAAAAGGCATGTTTACAGTTTTTACACATCATCTGGGCACAGCCTTCATCTCGTTCAATATAAACTTTGCATTTTGGGCAGCGCTTGATGGGAGCATCATCTTCTTCCATTTTATAAACAGAGCTGGAAGAGACATGTCAGTAGAAGTAAGGGAGAAATATTTCTTGCTTTTTACAGGCTGCATTTTTTCAGCTTTCTGCTGCTGAGGTCGTTTCTGTAGCTAGATGAATTTGTGACACTACCAAACACAAAGACAGATTTTCATTTTCCACAAAAACAACACACCGTTTAATGAAATGGCTGCCACTAAACTAAAAAGTTTGTCAGTTTGCCTACCAATCTTAGATCAGTATTGCATATATCCAGATGGGGGAAATGTAAACACAATCATGGAATCCTTCCAAAGCCAGTTGTCCTGGTGGTCTGCTCTTTCCGGTAATGCCCAGTCATGTTAGTTTTTTGTAGGCATATATGAAGAGTCTGTACTGGGTTGCCTTTCCAAGTGATCACTGAACCTTTTGGAAACTGTCACACAGGTGTGGAACAGAGCTGAAGTACTGAGTCTCTTCCTGCACCATGACCCTCCACAATTACCAATGACCCATGCGCCTAAAGGTAATCACACTGACAAGAAAACATTTCAGTTCTCTCTCAGGCTTGAGAAACATCAAGTGCAGGGCTGGGCAGATGTCAGACTTGTGGAATGCATTTGACTTTTTTTTTTTTTACTGGAAGACTTTGGTTTAAAAACCAGCCCACATGAAACCTACATGTGAATATACACAAATTTACATAAAAGTTGCCAGACAACAGTGATCCTAACATAACACTTTAAAAATGGCCTGCAGAACGGAATAACGACCTGGTCAAAAGCCATGAATTGAGTTTTGCAGATGATGATCCACAAGGTTGAAAAATAAGTAATTAGAACAAAGCCTGTCTTGGCAGATTTTTTTCCTTTGCAGTTTCCTTTGCTCCTATCATAGTCCTGAGAGCCAGAAGCCCCCTGTTGATCTATTGCAAGCTGCAGAGATCCTGATCTACCTTCTGTCCATCCACTCCTAATGGATAAAGCTGCTTTCAAAAGTAAGGCAATCTGTCTGCACAGGGTTGACTTCTTCTGCTCCTCTGTGATGACAGGAAGGGAAATGGCTTTAAATAACATTTGACTAGTAAGACAGCCAAGGCAATTACAGCAAAAATCAGTCTTTTTTTGTGCTGAGGGAAGCAGTTGCGAGTGACACATTCAGAACTGTGCCAGCATCATTTCTTGATTAACAGCGCTTTACCTTGTCTCCCCGGGAAGGAAGCTGACTGGCATATTTTCCTGACAGCCTTGTCCTGGATGCCAATTGGATTTGCATGCTGAACAAAACTCTATGTCGCAAGCTTTGCACTGTACCAGCTGGGGATTCTGAGGTCCCGATTCCTGCAGCTGGCAAACGGCTTGGCAGGAGGAGGATGGGCACCAAGTTCGACAAGGATCCAGAAGTACTTCTGCATGGGAAACAAGACACAGTTGGGAAGGGCCGCGGCTCACCGCTTACTCTGTGCATGAAACAGGTCCTAGTCTCAATCCCCGGCATCTGCACTCCTGTCTGAAACCCTGAAGAGGAGCTTCGAGCCAGTGCAGTGTGTGAAACCCGCCAGCACGGCATTTATTTATTTAAAATATTTATACCCTGCCCCATACGCAAAAGCGTATGAGTGAGCAGAGCCCTCCTGCTCAAGTTCCCCAGCTACTGGTCTATACAACCATACTGCCTTTGATACTGGAAGCAACATAGAGCCATCAGGACCAGTAGCCATCAATAACCTTCTTCTCCATCAACTTTTTCAGTGCCCTTTCAGAGTCACCCTGATTAGTGCCAGTGATTCCATAGTTTAGCTCTGTATTACGTGAAGAGGTACTTCCTTTTTATTGTCCTGAATCTACCACCGATCAGCTTCATGCAATAATTCTGGTAATATGGGAGAGGAAGAAAAAAATGTGTCTATTTTCTCTACACCACGCAAAATTCTGAGTACATTCCCTTACTAACCTGTTTTATAAGCTAAACACTGCCAGATGTCTGGACCTTTCTGCACAGGGCAGTCGCTACAGCCCCTCGATCATTTCAGATTTCCTTTTCAGAATTTTTGCAGCTGTACAATATCCTTTTTAGGGGCAGTGACCTCTACACCAGATTCCAAATGTAGTCACATAATAGATATGTATAATGGGAGCATGATTTTGGCATTTTATTTTTAATCCCTTTCCTAATTATACCTAGCCACCTGGAGTCCCAGTCACTGGGAACAGGCAGGATGTAAATAAATAAGATGAACAGGAGGAGGAGGAGGGAGAGGAAGAGGAGAAGAAGGAATTTGCCTTTTTACAGTAGTCATACATTAGGCTGGCATTTTCACTGAATTGTTCAGCACAATCCCAAATCCTGTTTCTTGATCACTCACTGCTAACTCATATCCCTTCAGCACATATGTGAAGTCGAGACATTTTGCCCCAACTTTACATTTGCTTCCACTGAACCACATTCACCATTTTGATGCCCATTCTTCCAATTTTGGAAAGTAAGCTTTTGAGCTCTTCACAATTCTTAAATATATTGGCATCATCCACCAAATATTTAACACAGTAGAACTTCTTTTTGCAGAAATATGTATAGGACTGTTCTACAAGAATGTGCATCATATGCATGTACCACATACGTTATCTTATTGTATCTCATCTAATGCCACACTTCTGAATGTTCATAATACAACACAGAAAGCGGTAGGAAAGGAGCATTTTAATTCTTACATGCATTGCCATTTGTAGAATTCTTTCATCTGCACAAATGTGAACAATTAATGACACAACTAACATATCCTGTGGCCTGTGAAGCAGGAAGGATTTATATCAAAGGAACCTAATTTATTTAGGCTCTGCATTGCTAAATGTCATGCTTCAGTTAGCAGGTGTTGTTAGTTTTTGGGCCACTGAAATGTCTTCTTTACAAAATTAGGGAAGTATTTTGAGTGTGTACATTCCCATCCAGATAATCCTAATGTAGTCATACCTGATAGTAAATCCAATGGCTTGTACCCATATATTGGGCTGCTTTTTTAATTTTCATTCCTTTCTACTAAATGGCCAAACAGGTCCATGATCAATTTTGTGGCCTTGCGGAACTTCTAACTAACTTTAACATTCTAGAATATAAAACACCATTTTGATTCACAATAAATATATATTTCGGAAAATGGGTCAATTTAAAGGGTCATTCCTAGAGAACTACTCTTTTGTTTCAGATTTGTCCTTTTCAGAAGTGTCCTCCATGTGTAAACAAATGAATGCAGAAATGTGAGGAGGCTTCCACTTCTGGTCCTGCTCCCACAACTTCAGTGTTTTGAGCAGGGAATTCTGAACACAGAAGTCTCTCTGAAGGCTCTTCTGCACAACTGAAACATTCTGAAAAGAACTAGTTCTGCTAAAACCCAACACAGTGTTTGGTGCGGTGGAACCAGAGATGTTGAAGTGTGCTTAGCTTTGTGCTTGACTGTGGCCCTTGTTTGCAAGAGGAGTTTATTTATTATTTATTTGGAACATTTATATGCTGCCCCATTTGCAAAAAGCCTCGGGGCGGCTTCCAAAACAAATAAACAATTATACAATTACCTTAAAAATCTGGAAACATCTCAGCACAATATAAAATCAATAAATACAATTAACAATTAAAATAATCTTTAAATAAAAAGGTATTGGCCTGGCGTCGAAAAAAAAATAACGACAGCACCAGGCGGACCTCTCTGGGGAGCGCATTCCATAAGTGTTTAAGTAACATATGGAGGAAATAATGTCTTCTCTTCCTCTTCCTATAATGGGATTTTGTGATCATTCTGTATTTTTAAATCCAAAAGTTTCTGAAAAAGTAGTGCAACAGAACTCTGCACAGACATGGGACACAAGACAGAAAGACAGCTCTTCTTCAAACATGTTCGCCTGTTCATGCAGGGTATGAATAGTGTGTGATCCCACAGATTATCTTGTCCATTAAATAGAAATAAAACTGAAGACAGGGAATAAAATTATTCCCACAGAGTTTGGGGCCAGCTATGGGTTTTGGAGTTATGATTGCTTCCACATACTGTACCTCTTTCAAACTGTAGTTTCTTATACTTCTGCATAATTTCTGATGCAACCATACACTCAATCTGTTGTAAAAAAAGAGACAAAACATGAGCAAATCAGTAAGAGGCAATGGGTTGGGTACAGCAGTCACAGGATCTCAACACCAAAAAGTGTCTGTAGTAAAAACTGGGCAAGGCTTGTATGTAAGAAGAATTTGTTTTGGGTAACGTACTTCATTCTCTTGTAGATGACCTCGCTTTGGACAGGAAGCATCAGGGCAGCTAATTGCTGTTTCTAAACCTTCCTTGATCAAAAGTTCCACATACTGCTTCAGGCACTGTAAGAAAGTCAAGCATAAAGGCTGAAAATATCACACATAGACTAACATACACATAAAGTTATTAACAAACTTTTCAGATGCTATTACACCCATCTGACAGAGTCAATCCTGAGGAGGTTCATGTACAAAAGCAATGGAATTTCTGATTTTTACTATATTAATTTATATTACATTTATATCCTTCCCTTTTCATCTTGTATGGAACCCAAGGTGACTTCAGTGATAGTCCTCTTCTCCATGTCATCCTTGCAACAATATGCCTATGGAGTAGGTTGGGCAGAGAGTTTGCGACTGGCCCAACGTCACCCAGGGAGCTTCATGACTGAGTGGGAACCCAGATCTCCCAGGTCCCCACTTCAATAGTCTTTCTTTATTAGATTTATATTCCACCTTTATTTTTGAAAGAATTCAAGTGGCTTACATAATTCTCCTCCTCCTGCTCTCACTCTTCTCACTGCAGCAACGACCCTGTGAGGCTGGCTGCACTGAGAGTCTGTGACTTGCACGAAGTCACCCAGTCGGCTCCATGGCTGAGCGGGGACGCGAACCCAGATTGCCTGCGTCCCAGATCCACGCGGTTAAACAGTACATGACACTGGCTTTGCACCATTTCTGCATACTTTCATACTACACCATCATGACTCCTTAACCTATTTTCATGCTGCAAGTGCCTTATCCAATATCACATGGATCTCAAAAAGAGACCACCTGTGTGAGTGTGGTCTACTCAAAAATGGCTCAAAGTCTGAACTGCCCATCGTCCATTTCAGACATCAGGGCTGAACCACAGTCTGGATGTCAAGATTTCTGCTGGGGACTTGTACATACTCCCTTTGCACATGCCAGTTTCCATCTGTGCTTGGCAGTTCAGTCTGCAGTGAACTGCGGTCTGTAAGTCAGGCAATCTCATGATGCTTTTCCTGAATCAGGCACCACGGTGAACTATGGATGCTTCCTGACAGGGCTTTTATTGCACCATCACCGTGCCTTGTTCCTGGCATTGTACAGCGAATCCAATGACCATATTTTTAACTTGCAACCTGCTCCAGTTTTCCCACCACTATCTTTTTCTTACTGCAGAAAATCTGTTAATGAGAAGAAGGCAGCTCCACAATGCCTTCTAACAAACAGCACTGGACACGCTAAAGCAGGAAGCAGCCTAATTTTCACTATGAATAGAAAGTGCAGGAAGGAATCAGAATACAATGAGGTTGCATGAAAGTATAAGCCTATAGTATATTTCTGATGGCTAAACTAGGGTTTGGCAGGAATGACTGTATCAGGCCCAGGAGTATTGAGCTACTAAATAGAGTAAAGAATGGCACATGGGCCCCCAAAAGCTACAAGTGGTGTAACTTCATCTCTTGCCATGGATGCTGTGTGTGATGCGTGTGTAAGGATGCACTCTTCCCCTTCTCAGGGGCAGACCACCAGGTATGTCGTATCACAAAAATGGTTTGCCATGTTGCATCGCAGCGGCTGATGTTCATTAAACCCATCCCACCTTGGGACCATTTGTGCTATTTTTGCCTTCTTCACTTTTATTCCAAGCACCTAGTAGGCTGGGCCTATTAACAGCAGGTAGAAGAACAAAACACCGCAGTAGCTGTCTTTCATAAGACTTTCCCCCCGCTTTTTCTGATGTGAACTGCAGACTCCCATTGCCCTTGCCGAGATGCTCTTAGCAACTGTTAAGCTGTTCCCAACTGCGTGGAAACAATACCAGAGCATTTCCACCCACAGTGCTTTGCAATGGAACACAAATCAACCTGAAAAGGCATGGCAGCGGTATACCCAAGTTGCCTTCATCAGCTGATAATCCCAGTTTCCTTCATATATATTTCTAAACTGAGAACTCAGGCAGGCTGGATAGTCATGGTTATATAAAAGAAAGGAGAGGGGTCAAATAAATACATCTGCTCTCTGACTATGTATAAATATGGCTAAATATACACAGCCATTCATGCATATATGCATGCGTGGCGACCATGGTGCTCGGGCTAGTAGCCTCCTTTAAAAGGAAGGACGGATGGACGAAATGAGCCTGTTGAATGCACCAAAACTGCCATTAATCAACCACCACTCTCTTAGGGTTGGTATCTGCATAGTTTCATACGTTATCTATTTTATTCTAACGCTCCTCCAAGCAGCTCACACTGCTGTACATGGTACTACCTTCCTTGCCATGTTATCCCCTGTTAAGCAGAGAGAGAGAGAGTTGGTTGCCAAAGTCACCAGCTGAGCTTCAGGGATTTGAACCTGGTCTCCTCAGTGACAACACATGGGGAGGGAACTCTGTCCTTTGAATCCAGGTCCTATCAATTTGCCTTCCTTCAAAAGGCCCTCCAGGGCTTCTTTGCTCTTACTTTGCACCAGCTTTCCCCCTCTCCTTTTGCTCCTTTTCAAACGCTCCTTGCAGCAACCACAGCAGGTTTCATGCCCACAATTGGCCCAGGCCTTCCTTTCCCATTCTTCCTTGAAGAAGAATTCAGTGCAAGTAAAAGCTTGTCACCCCGTATGCCCCAACACAGTTGGCCCAATAAAGGGGATTACTAAAAACCAAAGGAGAAATACACATAAACACTGCACAGATCATAGATACTTTTAGATATGGCCTTTCATTATTTGCTCCATTCGTTATTGTTAAACTTTGTGTTAAAGAATCCTGCCCAAAGTTTATACATATTTTCTCCTTAACTTTGGGTATTAGTAATTTTTATTAAGGATTGTTTTTGCCTCCTTGTTGGCTAACTATAAAGGTCATAACCTGGACTGCTTTGGAGACTTTCAGCACCACGGAGCAAAGCTGAGGTAATGTTAAGGTTAGATACTCGACAAGGCCTAAACCCCCAAAGGAACTAATGCTGAACACCCCCGGACCCTGATCTTTGCTAGATGCTCAATTATTCCGACCTTTGATGTTTGAATCCTTTGATTCAGAACCTGAAGGATTCCCACAGGATCATGATCAAAACATAAGCCTATCCTAAGAGACCTGGCTCAAGGTGTTTCCACTTGGTGAAATGGAGCCAGGTGCAACAAGAACCTGAGCCTTTCTGGGTATGGCATTTTGCCTCCAGAGAATGCTTCCTCCCTGGCCATCCCACAGGAAACAACCTTTTATGCCTGCCTTCTAGCATGATTTGCTGCTGATGATTTTTATTCTATCTTACTTTGGTTTAAGTATTATTTTTATTGAAAACTGCCTTGTAAAACACAGTGATTAAGAGGAAGACTGCAATTTAAATTAACTTTTAATAAACTGCATATTATTAAAAATGAATAATACAAATGTGACTTCTGAGGACTCACACAGAATACCTGAAGAGTTGAATTTATTATTTCTATGGCAACAAAAGTTCTGCTGTTTGGCAAGGATTTCTTAAATCATCCACTCTGGCAATGTGGTGCCTACAGGCTAGACTGTACTCTTGGATACCTTTCCTGGCAAGCTATCAGGGTGCTCCATGCCACCTACATTACTTTTTATTCAATTTTTAATAACAAAATTTATTGCTGGCAGCTTGGATAACTGTGTAGGCTTCTAGCTGCTTCTGCCTTCTGTCCCATGAATTTTAAGGTTCACATGTAAGACCAAGATTTTCACAAGATGTGAAAGGCCGATGCAGGCAAATGGTTCCAGAGAGTCAGTGTGGCATAGTGGTTAAGAATGTGCATCTGGGACTCAGGCAACCTGGGTTCAAGCCATGGACCAACTGGGTGACTCTGGGCCAGTCACAGACTTTCAGCCCAACCTACCTCACAGGGTTGTTATCATGGGGATAAGACTGAGAACAGGGGAAGAATGATGTAAGCTTAAGAAAAAAGGTGGGATATTGTCGTGAAAGGGTTGTATAAACATTCATCTCTCCACAGAGCAATAAAACTAAAGTCCTTTAATGTTAATTGTCCACAAGATTTACGATACTATAGATAAGTTCCCTAATAGCGGTCCCTGCAGAGCAGATATCAGTCCTATAATGGCTTCTCTTTCTGAGCCCACGTGGGATCATTCTCCCAAGTCACGCCTTTCCTCTCTCTTACACTGGCTGCTTTGTATTTGTTCAAATCTGCGTAAAATACGTCTGTTTTCAGCTTTTGAGAAATCTATGACACCTATCGTGTCTTCTGTTTCTGGCTCGGGGAGATCAGCGTCAGGAGGGGAGGAGGCAGTTTGCTCTGCCTCTTTCTCATGACTCTCTGTCTCTGATAAAGGTCCAGGCGTTTGCTCAATGAGCTGGGGCTCAGGGGAAGATGCAATAGCTGGTTCAGCTGCTCCTGCATTGGGTTGTGGGGGCGACGCTTGGGTGCAGGGTGCCAAGTGCAAGGTCTCCTCGTGAGTCACTGTTTCTGTTGGGGCTTCATGCACGACAAATATAAATCTAATGAATAAATTAAATAAAAATGTATAGCTCACCCACTTGGTGATGGTGCCCACTACACTTTCTCAAATGGTCAAACTGGCCCCCAAATGCTGCCTACCCCTGATCTAAAGGAGCACCATTTACTCTCATCACCTGGACTTCCCAATGCTGAAAGCCAACCAGAGAGTTGGAATGGCATCTATTGTGGTGCTCTGTAATTAGTCTCCCCCCACATTTGAAAATATTGAATATAAATTCAAATGAAACCATACGTTTTAACATTTCTAGACTTCACAGACTATTTAAGAAATGGGTGCATTTTACCATTACGAAAAATGAATTAAAGGCCAAAAGACTTCGTCGCACCCTGATTAGGAATTTTGTCATGGATAGCTGGAATTTTATTTCCCTTGACATCTTCAAGCAAAAGGAGTAGAGGATACCCCCTGAGATATTAATATGGCCACAGGTATCATTCATACAACCATTTCCTCAGAGCTACCTCCACCATCACAAGGCATTTAAGTCACCAGTTAGCTGTCCAGTAGGAAATTAGGAAAGCCATTTTACAAAACAATAACGATTGCACTATCATAAAAAGCCGGAGAGTGCCATGCATGTATATCAACATGT